GCCACTGTCAGAAGACAGGATACTGGGGTAGATGGACCATTGGTCTGATCCAGTATGGCCCTTCTTAAGTTCTTGTGTTCATCCCTTAATCACTGTACAAAGCAACACAAAAAATTTGCTTTAGCAGTTGTAGTCCAAACATATAGCAGTAGGACTACTGAGAGAAAGAGATTAGAGAGGATGGTATATATTGTGATAGACAGATGAGGACATATTGAGATAGATGGATAGACAGCTCGATATGGATGGGGATAGATGAATGGATGGATAGGCAGGGATTCACCCCGTGGGTCAAGAAACAGTCCAGAGACCTTCCCCTCTGGTAGAAGCTATAGTCCAGGTCAATTCCTCCTGTGTTTGATCAGGAGTTGGGAGGTTTGGGGGGAACCCAGGCCCGCCCTCCACTCTGGGTTCCAGCCCAGGGCCCTGTGGACTACACCTGTCTATAGTGCCTCCTGTAACAGCTGCATGACATCTACAACTCCCTGGGCTACTTCCCCATGGCCTCCTCCAAACACCTTCCTTATTCTCACCACAGGACCTTCCTCCTGGTGTCTGATAACGCTTGTACTTCTCAGTCCTCCAGCAGTACGCCTACTCACTCTCAGCTTCTTGCACACCTCTTGCTCCCAGTTCCTCACACACACTTCCTCTCCTCTGGTTCCCCGGCTCCCCCTGGCTTGACTGGAGTGAGCCCTTTTATAGCATCAGAGGGGCCTTAATTAGAGTCAGGTGCTTAACTGCCTCACCTGACTCTTAGCAGGTTAATTGGAGTCAGGTGGTCTATTAGCCTGGAGCAGCCCCTGCTCCGGTCACTCAGGGAACAGAAAACTGCTTATCCAGTGGCCAGTATATCTCCCTTCTGCTACTCTGCTGTTCCCAACTGGCCTGGGTCTATCACACTAGGAATAGGTGAATGAATGGATGGATGAATATGGATGGATGGGGATGGATGGACGGATACGTGTGGAGACAGAAGGGGAGCTAGACCAACAGGCTCATTGTGGTGCATGCATCTGACTGTCCATAGCAGTTTAATTTGGTGTTATGTTCTTTGTGCGTTTGTTCTGGGGATAAATTTTAGCAGTGTCTCTCCTGGGTAGGCCACTACAGCTCCCGGCGAGGAGTGTCTGAGGAGCAAGCGAGGGCTTTCTCTAGCAGATGTGTCCTGGCAGTTAGCATCCCTAGCTGTGAGAAGGGTAGTGGTGGGGCCTTCGGAAAGGACAAAGAAATTGGCTGGCTCCACTACAGAGAAGTCGGCTACTTCTAGAGGTACGGGGTTTATGAGGAGGATGGACAAAGCGGCTGTGTGCTTGACCCCCTGCTGGGAAGAAAGGAAGCGGTTGAAAGGTGCAGACAGGGCCTATGACACAAAGTCACAGCCACCAAACACTGACCGCTGTAAAGCAGTTTTCTAGACGCCAGTCCACCCATGGGGGTTTTGCACAATTTTCGCTTACGGGAAGTTGAGTAAATGCTTCTCTTTATTGTTTCTCTCCCTCCCTCTTAAATAGATCTTGTGGTGATATTATGATGAGACTGGGGCCCCATTGTGCCAGGCGCTGCACAGACACAGAGTAAGGGCACGTCTACACTACAAGCGCTTCAGCAGCACCGCTGCAGAGCTGCACCTTCGCCTTTGTAGTGCCACAGTGTAGACACTCACTACAGCAATGGTAGGGGGGTTTCTGTCACTGTAGTAAATCCACCCGCCCAAGAGGTGGGAGCTAGGTTGGCAGAAGAATTCTCCCGGTGACCTAGCAGCACCTACAGTGGGGTTCAGGTTGACCCAACTACAGCACTTGGGGTGTGAAATTGCTCATAGCCTGGAACGACATAGCTAGTTCAACCTAAGTTTTAGTGTAGACCAGGTGTCAGAAACAGTCCCTGCCCCGAAGACCTTACAATCCAAATAGACAAGACAAAGGGCAGGAGGCGGAAAGGGCTGTTGTCCCCATTACGCAGAGGTGAAGCACGGGGCAGATTTCCTTGCGTATCCTGTGGCTCCTGCTTTGCTGAGCTGTTCTGATAATCTGACCTCTTCTGTGTGTCTCCCAGCGTGAGCTCTTTTCAAAATGGCCTTAAATTGCCCAGCCCAACTTGCCCAAGTGTGCGGCAGAGGTGGGAATTGAGCCCAGATTTCCTGTACCGTAAGCACAAGACCGTCCCTGTCCAAAGGCAAGGATGGGACCCACTGCAACATGCTGGACCCCCTCAGTTTCCAGTGAGGTTAATGGCTGCTGAGAGCTATTCGCACCTGAGACCAGTTCTTTGGATTTCACGGCTGTTACTGAGAACAAATCTTGCCGGCTGTTCCAATGGCTGTACTTTCCAGGGGAAGAGGGAGAACAGGTGTGTGTGTGTGGGGGGAGATAAACTGCCTCACAGCTATCCAATGTCATACAGGACAGGCTTGGAAAGGTTGAAGTTGCAAAGCGGAGAAGTGTCACAGATAGGCAAGTGTCCACAGTGTACGCAGCATCATTCAGCAAAGCTGTCGTAGGGTCCGTCTGCAGTGCATGTAAACCCAGGCGTGTGGGACTCAGTGTTCCCAATCCCATGTAAACCTGAGTTTATAGTTGCTGGGTCCGGGTTTCATGGCCATGCTAACGTGTCCAGACTGTGCTAAGCAGACCTTCTGACTCAGGTCCGTGGCTTAAGCTGCGTCCACACTGCAAAATGACAGGGCTTGAACCCCAGTCACAGCGGGACTCAGGCTGTGATCCTCCTCCCCACAGCAGGGTCCTAGGACCCGGGTCCTGAGCGCTTGCTGACCCAAGACTGGCTGATTTGTGTGTAGTCAGAAGGGGCGCCTGGGCTCAAACTTGAGTCAGAGCTTGGGCTTAGGGTGCAGTGTAGACGTCCCCAGTCAGCCTGATCCAGTTCTCATTGATGTCACTGGGAGCCTTTCCATTGACCTCAATGGGCACTGGATGGGCTGCACGGTCAGCGAATGATGGCGTAGCTTGCTCTCGGTCAGCTCAACTGCATTAGTCTGTCTTTGCTGAGAGAAGAAGTGGAGAAGTAAAGGTTTCCTCGCCTGTGCACACATTGTTGACCAGGAAGCAATTGGATGAGCTGCTGCTGGCACATACCAGTGTGGCAAGATCAATGCTACAAAAGCTTTTTGGTAGTTGCCACCTGCCTCGGGTGACCAGACAGCAAGTGTGAAAAATCGGGACAGGGGGTGGGGGGGTAATAGGAGCCTATATAAAAAAAAGCCCCAAATATCAGGACTGTCCCTAAAAAATCCGGACATCTGGTCACCCTACACCTGCCAGTGTGGTGGAGTACGAAAGACAAGCCGTAAATAGACCGTTGTGTTTCAGGATATAACAGCACCTGCAGTGCACACCATGGCGAACGCGCAGTCTTGTACAACAGCCTTGCAACCCAAACTGATCCTAAAGAAATAGCAAAGTCCTAAACTCTGTCTACTCTCAGAAAGGTGGGGATTTGAACATGGGCACACCTTTATCTGAAGCACTGCACTGCCTTGCTAGTGTGTTACAACTGCCAAACGTAAGTGTTCAAAAATCCTGAGTCAAGGCCCCCCAAAATCAAGAGATTGTTAAACCAATCGCTTCACATTTCCAAGTTTTCTCTGCAACCAGAAGAGCTAGAAAACTTTTTTTTTTTTAAATAAAGGCAAGTTGAGATTTTTCCTGCAATCTCTTGATTCTAGTAGCTGGGACTTTAAGAAAAAACACTAAATATCGTGAGACATAACTCCATGAGAGTTGGCAACGCGGTAAATTCCTAGGCAGCACATGCTGTATGAGTGACTCTTCCCTTAGCTACATTATAACTATACAGAAAACAGACAGTTTAACTAACAGCTTGAAAATTAATAACGGAATCATTCAACCAACAATACACCTCATCAATAATTAATATGATCGACAATCAATTATTAATCTAGCACCCGTAATGCGCTAGGCCCTGGACAAAGATGGTCCCCGCTCTGAAGGGTTTACCATTTAATTTTCTAATTTAATAATTCAAAATATTGCCCCCCATCCCGCATCAGGATAAGTCAATGTGGCCCCTTGTACATGAATACGGACACACTGAAATCAACCGGGTGCAGGGATCCCAATTAATAAATGGGTGCCTAGATTTGCTTGATAACATTCTCTGGATGGTTTACACTAGTGAATGAAAGAGTTCACCATAATCAAGTATCATAAGCAACATGACGCAGGAAGCAGTGAAACACAAGAGATATGAGCCACATGCTAAAGAAATATCGTTATTCTGAAGTGCTCAGGGAAATGAGGCAATTACTTGTTTCCCGGGGCCCAACTCACAGCCGCTGCTACTGACAACATGGATTTTTGTTGCTGCCATGAAATTTTGTAAGACTTCCAACATTTTGCAATGAGGCACAAGACATTTTGTAAAGCCCCTTTCGCTCCCGTGGTAGAGTCCAGTTCCTACTTCTGCAAGTGCCTGGCCTAAGTAGTACTTGGAACAGTTATGGAGAGGGCAGGGATCACTAGCCCCATTTTACAGATGGGCAAAACGCGGACACAAAGCAGGACAGTCACTTGCTGTCAGAGCGGCACAGCCAGGATTTAGCCCCTAACTCTCATGACTGTCCCTGCTGTCTGCTAGGTCACAGAGCCTGGAGGACCCGCTAGACTCCCTATCCGGCTGCTCCGACCTGAAGGCGACGCGGACAGGTGCTCAGGGACCAATGTGGAATGGCTCCAGTGTGTTGTAGCTTGTAGCACAAACCCCGCTGCCACTTCAATGGCTGGCAGCCTCCACAGAGAAGTGGGGGACTGACTGAGTCCCGAAACCTGAACTGCCCTCTTCCGCCTAGAGGTAGCTCCCTTCAGGCCTGGAGATGAGGCCAAGCTGCTCTGTATTGTAGCCCTTATGTCAATGGAGGAGTTCGGCCTCCAGCCTGTGTATATGATAAAGTCAGGCCGGCATTGTCCTTTCAAACACCCAGCAAAGGCAATGGACAAACTCCCTTCACAGCCCGCACTTACCGGCTTTGTAGAAAAGGAGGAGAGTGAGCCACACACGGCAAGGTGTCCCCATTTCTCTGCCAGAGCTGGTGCAGTTTCCTACGTGGCTCGAACAGTCACAGGCTTCTGAGACAAGAAGACCAACTCCTTCCGCTTTACAACGACCTCGGGAAACCACAGCTACATGCACTGCGCATGAATTTCTAGTATAACACCAGAAAAGAGAACTAAGTAACTACTACTCCCGTGGCTTTCAAACCTTTTAGCCTCTGAGTGTGAGCCCCCCCCTTCTAAATTAAAAAGGGGGTTAATTTAATTTAACGGGGGCTCGGCGCTGTCAGCCCCACAGAGCCGACAGCTTGCGACCCCCCCCCCCCATGTAACCACCTTGCGACCCCCTGAGGGGTCATGCCCCCCAGTTTGAGAACCCCTGTACTACTTCATCAAAGCTACGTCGGTGCTATAGAGCACCGGTGGTGGCGCGTAGGATGGGTGCAGCCACGCACTGCAGAGAAACGCTGGCTGCATCCACACTGAGAGGTGTAGTTACACGTGTCTGACAGGCTCTGGTGCAGGGAAAGGCTGAGCACTGCAGAGAGTAGCAGTGTAGACAGTTTGGTCTAGAAGGGAGCCGCGTATGGTATGTTCTCGGGTACGTACTGTACTCACACCCTTCGGGCGTGGCTTCACTCTTCTCCCGAAGCTGTGCCTCACTGACGGCATGGCTATTTATACCCGTGCTGGGGGGGAAGGCTACCCAAGTACATACTCTACACTACTGGTTCTCAACCTTTTTGGGCTCAGGACCCATTTGTAAATGTTTATGGCCTGTCGCCCCCCGGTAAATAGTCTGGGGGTGGAGGCCCTGGGGTGGTTTCGGTCAGATCCTGGTGGGGGTTGGGTCCTGCCCGGCACTCACCCTCCAGTGGCGGCTCCGGCAGCTCCTGTGCAGTGGTGCTGGCTGGATTTCAAAATTGAAAATTTTAATTTATAAAAAAAAAAAAATTACACTTTTTATTTTAAACGAACAGTCACATCGTTGGAACAAAACCACTTTCCACACTTTGAAATGTTCACAATTAATAGAAAATGTTTGTTGGTCGGGTCCATTCATAACCAAGGAAAGGACCAATGGACTAGCAAAGAACCGTATTGCTGGGGCACCAGTGCCAGGCGTGTTATGAATCAGTGTAAACCACTCAGGATGAAACTCCCTGCCGGATAGTCATTAAGGGAAGTGTCTGGGGTAAAGCACCACTGGTTTGTAGTTGCTCACTTACTGTACCAAAGGAGGGCTCACATTTTGAGGCCATGTGGTCCTAGCAGAACAGCTTTGACCTAAGGGATTTCCCAGGTGAAACCCCTGTAAATGGAGGGGAAAGTGACATTTACTCTGTGAAATTCCAGAAGAATCCAAGAAAGACTCAGACAAGTCTTCTCGGGACAGGGCAGCGGTGCCTTGGCTGAGTTCTCTGCCAAAGGGAGTTGTGCCTATGTGTAAACGGGTACCTCCTCTCTGCCAGGTAAACAGGACTCATGGATAGTCTATAAATAAACAAGTAGCAAATACCCCTCGCTGATTTCTGCTCTAAACGGGAGAGCCCCCAGAATCTACCACTGCTCAGCAAAGGGGCAACACTGTTAGATCTGGACACCCCTGGAAATGTTCCTTTTAAAATGTACTAGGACAAACTCTAGTAGCTGGCTCCATCCCCCTTACACTGCTCTGGGCAGCTGGAGATTTTCCTGCCAGAATGGGGCATTCAACACAGGAGGCGTTCAACACTGAGACAGTTCTACACCACCTGCACCCAACCCCGCCACGTAGGGGGCATTTCTGGACAAGGTGGGGCCTGTGGCTGGAGGTAGGAGCCAGAACGTGATGTGCTCTGACATTCCACGTCTGATGAGTATTTCCCACAGGTCTGAGTTGCTGCCACAACCTGAGGTTTCCCCATCGGCCTGAGAATTAGAGAAGGGGATAGGTGGGTTAAATCCCACACACTGGATTCTGCTGATTTACTGTATTCATGACATTTTCCCAGTGCTGCTTAGCTCAGAAGTGTCGTCTGCTTCCCCACAAAGTTTCGGTTCCATTTACTAGGCTAATCAAGTTACTCGGGCAGGATTACACACTGAGACAGGCATTCGGCTGCTCAGGGAAACCAGGATCCTCTTCTCTTTCTTAGGGTTTGTATCATGAACATCATCCTCGTTATTCTTTGTTGCTCTAGCACAGGGATAGGCAATCTATGGCATGCGTGCCAAAGGCGGCACGCGAGCTGATTTTCAGTGGCACTCACACTGCCCGGGTCCTGGCCACCAGTTCGGGGGGCTCTGCATTTTAAATTAAATTAAGTGAAGCTTCTTAAACATTTTAAAAACCTTATTTTCTTTACATACAACAATAGTTTAGTTGTATATTATAGACTTAGAGAAAGAGACGGTCTAAAAACGTTCAAATGTATGACTGGCATGCGAAACCTTCAATCAGAGTGAATAAATGAAGACTCGGCACACCACTTCTGAAAGGTTGCCGACTCTGATCTCGAACTACATGCCTTTGTAAACCAAACTGAACCGAGCACACATTCCTATCCTGCTTTCTGACCGGGAGGATCCCAGGACTCGGCGTATACATTATATATTTACTGATCCCTTCACCCCTGAGTCAGGAAAGCACATAAGCACGTGCTTAACTTTGACTTCAGTGAGAATTAAGCATCTACTTAAAGTTAGGCTCATGTTTGTGCTTTCCAGAATTGGGGGCTTAACACAATACAGCCACGCCACACAATGGCACTGGGACAAGAACTGGTCTGTCTCCCGAGGAAACTCCAGGGAACTAGAATGCACCTACCCCATTGGGCTGCTCCAGGACAGCAGGACGAGAACCCTGCTACAAGTTCTATAGGATGTTTTAGGATCAAGACGAGAGCGAGTCAAAACATTTCCCATCCAAACTGTTTTCAGGGAAAAGGGGCCTTTTCTCCTAAACAAAAATGTTTGCAGGAAATTTTAATTTCATTCAAAATTTATCTGAAAAACTGGGCATTTTCTGAAAAAAAAAATTAAAAAGCAAACAAAATGTAGTTTCTTTGGATGTTTGCGTCTGTGAGTAAAATACTTACCCTTTCCCAACTAGTTCTAGGATCTCTCATCTGAAAAGCAGCATCTGCAGCAACCAGGAAACCCCCTGCCAACATGCCAGGTCATTGATCTTTGAATCACAAGCACCACTTGCTGGGATATCCTGGGTGTCCATCATTGGTGTCCAATCCAAGGATAGTTCAAGTCCAAATCTGCTTAGTTTATAGTGTCCGGTCTAATCACACGGTGTGGTGATATACTAGCTAACTAAACTAGGAACAAAAACAAAGCATTCACTCAGACTCATAGACTCATAGACTTTAAGGTCAGAAGGGACCATTATGATCATCTAGTCTGACCTCCCGCATGATGCAGGCCACAAAAGCTGACCCACCCACTCCTGGAATAATTCTCTCCCTTGACTCAGCTGTTGAAGTCCCCAAATCATGATTTAAAGACTTCAAGTCGCAGAGAATCCTCCAGCAAGCGACCCCTGCCCCATGCTGCGGAGGAAGGCGAAAAACCTCCAGGGCCTCTGCCAATCTACCCTGGAGGAAAATTCCTTCCCGACCACAAATATGGCGATCAGCTGAACCCCGAGCATGTGGGCAAGATTCTCCAGCCGGACCCACATTGACCATTCGTGAATTGTATGGCAGGTTAATGCTGTTCAGTTATTACAGTTAACTTAGACATGAAAACTTACAAGGAGGAAGATGAGAGAAGAATGACGAGGAAGTGAGCAACAGAAAGGAGAGGAAGCAAAAAGCCAGAAATAGGCAGTGTTATATCCTTGGGGGCAACAGTTTTAGGAACACAAGATTCTATTACCATGACAACCAAATACACAACAGGCAGAATTTCTGTATTTTTATAAAAATAACGAGGAGTCCGGTGGCACCTTAATGACTAACAGATTTATTTGAGCATAAACTTTCGTGGGTAAAAAAACCCACTTCTTCAGATGCATGGAGTGAAAATTACAGATGCAGGCGTAAATATACTGGCACATGAAGAGAAGGGAGTTACCACACAAGTGGAGAACCAGTGTTGACAGGGCCAATTCAATCAGGGTGGATGTGGTCCACTCCCAATAACTGATGAGGAGGTGTCAATACCAAGAGAGGGAAAATTGCTTTTGTCGTGAGCCAGCCACTCCGAGTCCCTATTCAAGCCCAAATTAATGGTGTCAAGTTTGCAAATGAATTGTAGCTCTGCGGTTTCTCTTTGAAGTCTGTTTTGGAAGTTTTATATTTTTATAACCTTCTCCATGGGGGGGATGTCGGTGTAATATTGAAGCAAACCAAATACATGGATGAATGTCTCCTGGCAGCAGCCTGGGGAGGTAAAGGACTGTTATACCCAGTTTACAGATAGAGAATTGAGGCACAGAGGAGGGGTATGACTTGTCCAAGACCATACGGGGTAGTCTGTGGCAGTGAATGGAATTCAGGGGTTTTTGCAGCTTAGTTCGGCACTTTAGACACAAGACCATCCTGGTGAGTGCTAGGAAGGACAGTAAAGCAGAGATTGCTCCCTGGGGTGCGGTGGACCTAGAGTGAAATTTGGTCCCAAAGGGTCTCCTACATCATGAAAATGCCTTGCAGCAACTCAAGGAGTGGGGGAAATGAATTCAAGGTCTGACTGTCAGGGTGATTTTTTTTCCCCTTGGGGTGGTGACAATGACAGATACTAACCACAGTTTTCCCCCGGAGCTCAAAGGTGGGTTATTAATCATTTCCATTGCATGGGGCTGGGTGCTGCTCACGGAATAGAGGGTTGTTTTCACTGCACCGTTAGCAGTGGCTCTTCGCCACATTTTAGCCCAACCCCCCATACCTTCCACACAGAAAAATCCTGAACCGGGGTTGGAGGTGCCTTAGCCCAGGGTAGCTGACCCAGAGCGGGGTGTGGATTAGAACCTGGGCTCTGCTTTAACTCAGGCTGGAACCCACCTGCTTTCAGTGG